CCAGCTCCCCTCCACCAGGGTCATCGCTATTCAAATCGCGCGGCCAATGCTCTGGCTAGATTCGCCCAACCGTTCTTTTCCGGGTCCAGACCCCCAAGCCCGCAGACTCTCCCCGGAAGTCGTGCAGACTTGGCGGTTGCTCCCCGGTTTACTAGGCCCAAGTCCTTGTATAGTTACCCCCTCCCCCTCTTCTTCTCCCCCTCCCCCCCCCTCCCTCCTTTCCCCCCTTTTTTTTTTATTCTTCCCCCTCCGCCTGTCAGCTCAGCTCGGATCCCTCTATCGAATTACCCCGCTTGTTCCGATGGGATGATTGTTTTGGGAAAGAGGGAGATAGAGGGAGACGGTGCCCGGTGGGCTTCCTTCTCTTGTTCATTTTTTCACTTGACTTGTCTATTTCAACCCATGATGAAATGAAATTCAATTGGTTCGACCCTAGACATGCATGTCAATGATGATCTGCAATTCTTCGTCGCTTAAGCATCGAAAAGGATGACAAGATAAACAAACAAACTAAAAACAAAACAAGCGTGCATCTCTAACGTTCCGATCAGGCCGGGAGCGTCCCAAACCGTTACGCATAAGACGGGGATCCCCATAGCCGCGGTGGACATCTCCCCTCAACGGACACATGCAGTCATCGGGGGCAAAGAAATCCTCAAGACCATTCGGGTCTCTCCCGACCATCTGTCCGAAGAGTTTAACCTGCGCAACACGATCATCAGTTATGCTTCCACCCATGGTGGGAGCGCGCTCTCCGCGCGGCACAAGGACCAGCTGATGGTACGCGATGTCAAGTGGTCACATGGCCACTATGACCAGATCATCGCCACGGCCGTTGCCAATGGGCGCATTGTCCTCTATGATCTGCATCGACCGGGCCTAGAATTCTGTCGGTTCCAAGGCCATAGCCGCCAGGTTCACCGACTCGCGTTCAATCCGCATCACCCGCAGTGGCTGCTGTCCGGTAGCCAGGACTCGTCCACCCGCTTGTGGGACCTGCGCATGCCCTCCACCGAGCGCGGGGTTCCCGTCTGCGGGAGCAAAGAGCACTACATGGGGAACAGTGACGCCATCCGCGACATCCGGTGGTCCCCCAGCGAAGGGTTCGCGTTTGCCACGGCGACAGACAGCGGCGCCATCCAGCTGTGGGATTCGCGCAAGAACAGTGCCCCACTGCTGCGGATTACTGCCCACGATCGCCCGTGCTTCTCCGTGGATTGGCATCCGGACGGAAAGCACATCATCAGCGGCGGCGCCGATCGGCAGGTCAAGGTTTGGGACTTTTCATCGTCCGCCGAGCGGAGGCAGAAGCCGACCTTTCAGTTTCGAACCCCCCAGGCGGTCCTCAACGTGCGATGGCGACCCCCGTCCTGGGACCGGGAGCCCGAGGGGAACGGCGACTGGCAGTCGTCCCAAGTTGTGACCTCGTATGACAAGGAGGATCCCCGCATCCACCTGTGGGATCTGCGACGACCGTACATCCCCTTTCGAGAATTCGATCGCTACGAGTCACATGCGGCCGATCTTCTGTGGCACTCGAAAGACCTGCTGTGGACCGCCGGTGAATCGGGGTCCTTCACGCAGACGGATGTTCGATATGCCCCGCACATCATCAATCAGCGACCGACCTGCTCAGTGGCCTGGAGTCCGAGCGGTGAGGTCCTGGCCTTCGTCCAGAAACGCCCGGCCCGACGGGCCCTGGGTCTCAGTGCGACCGAATTTGTGGGTCAGGCGGAGGAGGAGAACAGCAGCGGCGAGGTCTTCAGCCAGAGCCCCGCCGACGACTCGCTCGACGAACCTTCGTTTACCATGGTCGGCCACCGGCACAGCAAGTCTACCGGTGCCAGGCCATCCAAATCCTTGGACAACACTCCACCGGGTGTCGCGGAGTTTTTCCCGATCCTGTCTTTGGAGAAGACCCTGGCGAAGGTGAAGCCGCCGGGTCCCCGGCAGTTGGGCGCAGTGGGAAGCACCCTGGGCGCCACCATGGATCGGGGAACGTTCCGGTATTTGGCCCGGAACTACGCTTCGCTCTTCACGGACACCGGTAACGCCGGCACCGATCCGGCACGATCTCTACTCGAGTCACTCGATCACAATGCAGGTTGCGCTGAGGATGTCACCCTGGTCAAACTGGCTCAGACGTGGCAGGTCATTCGAATGGCGGTCGCGGAAGAACTCCAAATGAGAGCCCAGGAACAGCGCCAAAATCCCGAGAAGGTGACGCGTGCGGCGAAGAAGAGACTCTCCAAAGAAGAACCGGTAGGCGAGAAGACACGGACCACCGAAGATGGCAAGCTCGAGAAGATGAAGAGTCGATTTTTCAAAGGGACCCGGGAGATTGGAGCGCCCAAACTCTCCCTTGCCGACACCGAAAGCGCCTCGAACATGACCACGCCGCTTGCACAGCCTTTGCCCGATTCCCCGATTGGCACCTCCGAGAGCTCCGCCTCCCACATGACGTCTCTGAATGATCCGACTGACATCCAACCCCTTCCGCCGTCGCTCCTCAGCTCCCGGTTTGACACGATGGAATCGAACGAGTCCTCGTCCATGTCGGAACTCGGTACCGGTGCACAGGAGCATGGGTTCGTTGCCCCAGATCGTCTATCACCTGGCCCCGCTCGCATGGCCATGTCCCAGGCGTTCGAGGACGAGCAAAGATCGGCCCCGCGGGCGATCACCGGTCGAGCCGACTGGCGTGCCTTGGACACCTACCCAACCCGTGCAGACGACGAGTATGGCCAAAACAACGGGGATGAAGTAGCCGTCCGTGGCTACAAATCACTCCCTAAAAAAGCACTCTCGCTCGAATCCCACGGCGATGCCCCGAAAGCCGCCGAATTCCGTCGCCATGGGTCATCGGACAGTTTCCCGATGTTCTCCGCGTCGACGGGGAGTTCGCACCCGTCCCGGAACTTTGCCACTTCGTTTTCTTCCGCCAATAGGCTGCATGATGTCGCCGAGGATGAGGCATCTGACGAGGAAGTGAACCGTCAGGCTCCTAGCGAGGTTGCGTTTCGGGCTCAGGGGGGCTCCCTTCACGGCAGGGACGCCGTTCAAGGCGAAGAGGCGCCTACCAATGGGCAATCCCCGGTTGACAGCCACTCCGATGCGGAACACGTGCACCTTGAGCGGCCGTCGAGCCCTCTACCCCTGTTGAAAGAATCGAGTCCTTTGCAGACCCCCAGTTGGGAAGAAAGTCCTAGCCTCGCTACGCAGACAATACCCGACAGCCTATTAGGGGTGACCATCCCCATCAAACCTGACGGATCGGGAAACAAACCATGGAGTGCCGAAGCATTGCTGAAGCAAGCCATCCGATACTATCACACCAGCACCCGGGTCGATACTCAATCGGCCGTCCATCTCCTTCAGAAACTGCGGGAACTCTTCCAAGACTGCGAGGAGATCATCCCCAGCCACGAGAGCGAACTCCTATTCAAGGCGTACAACGAGGATCTCCAGCGCCAGTCGATGTACATCGAGGCCGCCGAGCTCCGCCTACTCTGCGTGCCGTCATACCCAGCCGTGTACGAGTACGCGCAGACAGACACCTATATGAACGTATACTGCTTTACGTGTAAGCGTCCATACGAGAACCCCAGGCCCGACAATCGTCGCTGCCACCGATGCCAGACCCCGCAAGAACCCTGCGCCATCTGTATGAGCCTGGACCCGCCCCCAGAGTGGGTACTAGAACAGTCCGAGCCGTCCGCATTTTCACCCCACAGCGCAAGCGCAAATACCTCATCATCAAGCAACACATCCCTAAAAACAGAGCCCATTCCCGCATCCGAAATGGACCACCTAGCAGGCTTCGACTCGATCCGCCCCAAAGGCTCCACCCTCTGGACCTGGTGCCAAGGCTGCGGCCACGGCGGCCACATGGCCTGCATCCACACCTGGCTGAAGGACACCACCATCAGCGAAGGCGGCTGCGCCACCCCAGGCTGCACCCACGACTGTGGCCCGGGCCCCCGCCGCGAACACAACCGCCGCATCCTCCAAGAAGAGTCCAAGCGCCGCGACTCCGTCGGCCGCAAATCCGGCACCGGCTTCGTCAAGCGCGACCCGTGGGCAAAGGGCGAGAGCAAGGCCGTTGAGAAAGTGCGCGGCATGTTAGGTGCTCAGGCTACTGCGTCGGGGGGCAGCTCTTCGGCGAATAGTGCTGCGCCGAGCACGACTTCCAATCTGATGTCGCCGAAGAAGGTCCGCTTGGTTACGCCTAGTGAGCAGGGGAGACGGAGGGGCACGCCGTCGAGGTCGAGTATTGGGGGGAGTAGTACTGTGAGTGGGTAGCCCTTTTCCTGGGTATGGGTAAAAGGGGAGGGGGTGTGAAGATGTCAATTTTTTTCTTTTTTCTTTTTACTTATTATTGTTTGCATGGCAATTCGATGTTTGGTTTACTTAGTTAGTTTAGCATGAGATGGCGCACTAGGCTTTGGCCGTTGAGAATTTTTATACCTATACCGTGATGGAAATTTGAGTTAATATGTTCCGTCTTTACCTGTCTGTATACTCTACTCTTAACAGATATACTTTATTGATCCTAGAATCCCCCGACCAGTCAATCTCCCATCCACATTCCATAAGCTAGCCAAGTAGACAGGTTACCTAGTGGAAAGGTAAGTAACAAACGCCAATAAAAGTAAGTGCTTGTTCAAGTTGATATGTAAGTGGTATTGTCGCTAGATAGATATAGACACAGACTATTCGTTTATTCATTGTGTTAGAGCAGAAAAATTGAAGAAAAACGAGAACAGAGACGAAGAATCAGATATCCAGATACCACGAAGCTCTTTCTCATAATGGAAAAAAAAAAGAAAAAAAATTTCAAACTAGTCCAACCTGCTCATTCGGTTGATATTTACCTAGTCACACTATGTTGCGAGAGTATTGAGATCACGTCATATCAATACAACTGAAGTGAGGTGTTTATAGAGGAAGGAAGGAAGGAAGGAAGGAAGGTAGATGAAGATGTGAAGATATGAACGATGCTAAAACCGCCTCTTTTTCTTAGTAGGCGCTTTACTCTTCATCTCCAGCTGCCTTTTCAGCTCCTCGCGCTTCCTGTCCGCTTTTTCCTGCTCTGTTTCTGGTTCTGGTTCTGGTTCTGCTTTGGGAGGATCTTGTGGTTGGTTTTTCTTTGGGGATAGGGATGGTTTTGTTTTTGGTTTCGATTTTGTCGTTTGTGATGGTGGTGGTGGTGACGGCGATTGAGATGGCGTGTGATGGTGGTGATGCGTTGAAGGAGAGCGTGGTTCTGCTGATCGGGAGGCCCTGCCGCCGATGACGCCAAGCTTGCTGTGTTGGGCAGTCGTTTTAGATGGTGATTTCTGAGCTGCTGGAGAAGAAGGCTTCTGCGTTTCCTTCTTTCTGCCGCCGATGACGCCCAGTCCGGTTTTGGGGTGTGTCTTGGTTTCTGGAGATTTCGGCTTTGGCGGTTGTCGACGAGTAGGGGGTGCGTCGAGATCAGAGGCAGAGTCTGTTTCGTCGTCTGAGTGGGTGGCGTCGGAGGAGGGGTGGGATGGTTTGTTGGTTTTGGTGGTGGCTGGGGGCTGTGTTGATGGCTCTGGTGAAGCTGGCTTGGGTGGCTTTCTTCCCCCAATTACTCCGAGGCCTTTGGCTGCCTTTTTTGGCTGGGGTGGAGGCTTTGCGGGCTCTTTGGTATCCTCGTCGGTTTCTTCTTCGTCTGTAGAGTCAGATGGTTTTCTACCTGCCTCTCTTGACCGTTTGAGCCGAGGGGGCGTCTCTTGTCGCTGGGATGTGGGTCAATATCATGGCTTTGAAAATGAAGAGGCGGGCTTACCTCGAATTCATCCTCGGTTTCTGTACCAGCATTGGTCTCGGTGGCGTCGTCTTTTTGGACGTCCTTCGTTTCAGCGTCTTGATCGTGCTCCTTGCGCGTCGAAGGCACTGCGAGTGGGCTGTCGTGTGTGCCAACCTGTTCCCACCACGCGTCCGGAGGCGGATCCAAACCTTCAAATGACCCCGTACTGCTGGCACCTGTAAATGCTTTCACGATGTTGGCAGCAAAGCCCAAATGAGGTGACGACTTGTTGACTTCATCAAACCACACTTGCTCGTCAAACGGCGCAACGCCTTTGATATACCTAGCAGCCTGCGACAGCGTGGTACCCTTGCGGCCTGTCCGCAGGCCCGACGTACCCGGGAATATCGTACCGAGGTCAATCCCCATGGCTTCGATCTTGTCGAACAACTTCCCAAGGACCCAGTCCTTTTTGTAGAGCTGTTCTATGAGGGCTCGCTGGCGCGATTCCCAGTCAGCCTCGGCCATGACCAAGGGAAGGAGAAGCTGGCTTGTTGAGGCCGACGGAGGCTCCTTCGATAAGCACAATGTCCATTTGAGAGGCTCAAGTGGGGCAGGTAGTTCCGTGTAGGTGATTAGCTCTAGGGAGTCTCCTCTCGATTGATGATTGAGGGTTGCGCTGCTTCCGGCCTCGCCGTGGAGTGCGTCGCGTATCTTCTGTAGCAGAACCCCAAACTGCTCGGCGTCTTCGCTGGGATCAATGGTTGTGTTTTCCTCGCTGGCTCTCCGTAAGATGGCCTGACGGCTTAGCTGTTCAGCCCATACATTTGTGAGATCGGTAATGTAGATCTCGTAAGTATAAGCGGTCGAGATGAATTTGTAGAGGAGAGGAGGTATTTTCTCATCATTTGAGAGACGAAGTCTCTCCCATATTGTCGTCATATCTACTATCCTCTGGATTTCACAGCAAGATGGGTGGTTGAAGGTGAGTTCGTCAACACGAACTGATATCAGCCTGGAGCCTGACAGTAGGCGGCAGACGGGGGCCTACACGCGCCCAACCAGGGTAGGTAAGCCGAGCGCCTGACTTGCCGCCTTCGGGTGGGTCGAGGCCCCAATGAACTTCTATCTTTCATCATACAGCGATCGGCCATCCATTAACCGCAGCGCAACGGCTTCAGATAACTCGTCACGTTTCTGTCACGCTTTCCTATCGCGTATAATGTCGTCCAGACTTCCGGACCGATCCAACTGGAAGCGAAGTCGCTCTCGATCGCCGTCGTCGCGCCCACCGCACAAGTTCGCCCGCCGAGACGACGACTACAATGGCTCCCGAAACATCAAGGACCAAGTCCGGTTGAATCAGCTCCAGGAAGCGGAACAGGCCCGACAATGGGTAGCACAGGAGGATGTCTTTGTTCTCAAGCAGGCGAAAAAGAAGGCGGAGATTCGGGTTAAAGAGGGAAGGGCGAAGCCGATCGACTGGCTTACCGTCACCTTGCGCGTTATCGATCCGACCCGAGATCCCCACGACGATGAGATCGCGGACTCAGATTTGGATCTGGTAGACCCGGATGGGGTATTTGAGGGTCTTTCGCAGAGCGAGTTGCTGGACTTGGAGAAGGATATTGAGACGTTTTTGGGTCTGGAGACGAATTCTCAGAACCGGGATTTTTGGAGAGTAGGTCTACTTTTTCTATCTCCCATACCTTTCGGAGTGGTGACGCTAACCGTCGCTCTCCTGTGATAGACTATGAAAGTGATTTGTCGCGATCGCCAAAAGTCCACTGCCCCCGAAGGCCGCGCCCTCAGCTCCGTCGCCGCAGACATCAACAGGCTACTGAGCCCCAAGAGCTACGAACAACTGCAGAACCTCGAGGTACAAGTCCGCAAGAAGCTGGATTCGAACGAGCCGATTGATACAGACTACTGGGAGGAGCTCTTGCGCAGCCTCACGGTGTGGAAGGCTCGCGCCAAAGTGAAGAAGGTATTCCAGGCGGTCATCGACGAGCGTGTGCGCGGGCTGCGCGATCAGCAGCGTGAAGAAGCCGAATCTGTTCGAGATAGGCTTGCTCCCTTAGCTCCGGCAATCGAATCGACATCCAATGCGCCCGACGAACGTGACTTCCGTGGTTTGGATCCCGACCCGTTGCTTCAGATCCGGCCGGAGGATAAGGGATTGGAGATAGTGGATGAAGACGCTTTTCTCAGTCAAGTGGTGAGTCCCTTACGTAGTGGCATATTTCTTGTTTTTCGTTACTGATGGAATTCGTAGGCCCGCGATCGTCAAAAGGTTTTAAAGATGGGTTACGTTCCCCTGCGCCAGCGACAGGTGGAGAAACCATCAGCCATGCCGGTGGCCCAGACATCCAGCATCTCGGTTTCTACGGCCCCCACGCGCTTTTCCGCCATACCCAACGAGGATTTCTCACAGGCCACCAAGGCCCTGTATGAGCGCGAACTCGCCAAGGGCGTCAGTGAGAACGAGGAGATCTTCACCGGCGAGGAGTCTGTCAGCACGGGCGCGCAGCCACTGTGGGCGAACAAATACCGGCCTCGCAAGCCCCGGTACTTCAACCGGTGCCAAATGGGCTACGAGTGGAATAAATACAACCAGACTCACTACGATCACGATCACCCACCTCCCAAGGTCGTCCAGGGCTACAAATTCAACATCTTCTACCCCGACCTCATCGATAAAACCAAAGCCCCGACCTATCGCATAGAGCGCGAACATGGACGAAAGCGCGGGCAGTCTTTTGCGGCTGCTGGTGAGGAGGATACCTGTCTCATCCGGTTTATGGCTGGACCCCCGTACGAGGACATCGCATTCCGGATTGTCGATAAAGAGTGGGACTATAGTGCGAAACGAGAGCGAGGCTTCAAGAGTACCTTTGACAAGGTATATGACTCTGCCTATCCCCATTTCTGAATCATACTAACAGTTCTAGGGGATTTTGCAACTACACTTCCAATTTAAGCGGGTAAGTCATTTTTTACCTTGGGACGATTCCCTTGGCTAGAGCGAAAACTAATATGTGTGACCAGATCTATTACCGGAAGTAAAAGCGGTACATACCATGTGGAATCAAACGACTCAGCATCTTATTTTTCATGAGCTGGACCCATCTGTAGCCCATCGTCGCATTTTTTTTTGTCCATTTTCACTGTCCTTAACCCTACCCCGCTAAATCCTGTCCTTCTCCACCCCAGTATGGACCTACAGCGAGATACATCTCCGCAGCTCTGATTGGGCTGGAGATAGCAACCACCCTCACCAACATTGGACCCCGATTCAATTACAGGCTAAGATGTATCAGACTGTCGGACATTCAGTGCCATGATCTGGGGCCCGGCTTCTTTTTATTAATTATTTCGGCACTTACGCCCCGCAGATCATGGCCGACACGTGCGCAGAGCCCCCTCGAGGTTTAATTCTACTCCCATCAAATATCACCTTGATCCTCAACCCTGTCATTCTTGCTCCTAAGAACAACCTCTTCGTCATCACCTACACGATAAACGTCACGTGCTCTATCAAGATAGGGCAAGTCGGCCACAGGCGTCACATTGTCTTCACAGGGTCAGGGGGGCGGGAACGGGAAAGGGAAAGGGGGTAGACGTCACGAACCGAGCGGCTTTCTGGTGCCACAGCGGCACTTGCACAATCCGGTGAAGCATTCCGGCTGGTCGGGGAAGCGGGAGAAGGCTTCAGTATCTGCAGGATAGATTCAAAAGAACAATAAGGATCTCCAGGTTCAGCCCGAATGTTCAGTTCCAGAAAGGCTAGTGTTTCTTCGCCTGCCCGGCCGGTCCACTGCAGCTGGCCGGCGCCATCCACCAAGCTCACTCACTCACTCCTGGCTCCCCCGGTGGGCATCACCATTCAGTTGCGCCCCCTCCTCCCTTCGGTAACACCAGATCCAGCCTCTTCCCGGGCCTTGGGGAAGCCATTGGCGGAGGAAGGCGTGTCATGGATCAGCTGCATCAGAAATGTAGGAAGGACGAATGTGGTCAAGTAGAACAAAGCACCGCAACCATCCACAACATCCCCCAGCGTACACCCCAGTGTACACACCCTAGTGGCAACATGGTTGGCTGAAGCGTTTCCAGTGGGGAGGGAAATCTGGTCTCCCGATTTGGGATCCCTTTTCTTCTCGATCTTTTCCAGACCGTCTTTTGTTTGCTGGGGTCTAGCAATGCAGGATGGTGGCTGTTTGCAGGCCAAAAAAATGGGATATCAATTTAGTAAAAAAATTAAATAAATAAATAAAATAAATCTAAATCAAATCAAATAGAATAGGACTAAAGAAGGAGGACTCTGAGCTGGCAAGGTTGTTGCTTTACAGCTCGTTTCATTTTTTTGCCTTGCCTTTTCTTTTCTAGTAATTGATTATTATTATTATTATTATTATGAGTCTGATAATGGTTAGCATTGATCATTTGAGGGTTTTGGCAATTTTACCTCTGGTAAATCTCTATTTCTTCCTATTTGATTTTGAATTCCCTAGTGATGCAGCTCAACATCTTCTGAATGGTCACACGTTCGGAGGTGCTTTTGTTCTTCTGGATTGGGGGTTGATTTCTTCTATTTTGTTCTATCTTTCTAAGGATTATCTCGTTTCCTTTTTCTTCCTTTTTTCTGATTACTATTCTCTATTTATTTGATTCTTTTTTCCCCTGCTGATTCCCCTCAATAGAAACACCTTCTTACTTTATCTGCTTGGGTTCGTCCAGGTTTCTGCTTCGTTCATGGTTGTGTCTTTTTATTTTAATGCTCTTTTTCTGCTCCTGCTTTTCCTTCTCCTTCTTCCTGCTCTTATACCAACTATTATAACCTAGTATTAATTGTCTTGTTCCCATTTCTCATTCCTCCATCCTGGCCGCCACCCCGTCAAGTTCAGTCGTTGATTCCTCAGACGGTGTTGAATATAGGGCTTGTCTCACCTGCCCAAACACTCTCCTACTACATCATTTCCTCAAGATGGATCGCTTTGTCCCCCATGGTTTGCCCACGACGTCAGTCCCTGCTCGCCGGATCAACCCTCAACGGTTTATTCCAAAACAGACAGAGACACCCTGTTCCCTGGCGGATGGCGCTCTTCCCCAAACTTCACGTTCCCACAACCCCTGCTCAACCGTCGATAACTGGACGAGGTCCAGCTCTAGTAGCCCTGAAGCAATGATGTCCTGTCAGCAGCATCCATGGTCCATGGAGGCAAATACCTCGGAATACATTCTCAGTCCATCTCATTCCCCGAAGGACACTCTGGCAGACGTATTGTCCGGTCAATACGTGCACGACAGCGAGTACTCTGACTGGTCATCCTCGCTCATGAACCCCAACCCGACACACGCACCATCATCACACGCTAGACGGCAACCGTCTCCCGAGTGGCGGCAGGAACTTCATGCCACGGGGCTGGTGGGGGTTGACCGTGACTCTTACGGTGCATCGTTCCGGTCTCATCAACAACGGTCTGGGATGGCGGCGACGGCCTACCCGTCTGTGCCACCATCACCTCTCTTGTCCTCTTCAGGGTACCCTCCATCGCAGTATGGCCGGCCGGATCTCTCCCCGCTCAAGCCACTGGTGGAACATGATGATTCACGGACTAGCCCTGACGACACGGAAGAAGACGGGAGCGCCGATCCTCCATACTCCCTGCTCATCTATCAGGCTCTCTGGTCTGCGGCGGGGAGGAAATTGACTCTCCAGGATATCTACAGCTGGTTCGAGAAGAACACTACGAAGGGGAAAGATCGAACTTCAAAAGGTTGGCAGAATAGTATTCGTCATAATCTGTCGATGAACGCAGTATGTCTTATTCTTCTTCTTCTTTTTTCTTATTTTTGAGAGTTTTTCAACCCTCCTTTTCCTGTCCCTCCGAGAGTCCATATTATCCTCGACAGCCAATCACTGACACGCGAATCGACAGGGGTTTGAGGCCGTCCGAGAGGAGCCAACACCCGGCAAGAAGGCTGTGAATTACTGGCGCCTGACAGAGGAAGCATTTGCCAATGGCATTCAATCCACGACGCGATACAGAAAACAGGCGAATTACAAGAAGGCCCTGGGGTCAGACCCACCGGCTCCCCAGCGGCAGCGTTCTGGAGCTAAGGGGGGCAAGGCAACCAAGATCACGGCCAAATTTCGCGGACAACTGAGCCAGGATGAATCACGACGCGAACGATACCGGCCGCGATTGGCATCGTCATCAACGTCGTCCTCCTCGCCACGGGGCCACGATCTGAAGGATCTCTATGGTCAATACCACCTCCCGTCCGCCATGCCCATGGTGGTACCGTACCATGTGGCTGCCTGTCCGACAGCACCAATGAACCGCTCAACAGCCTCGTCGGGTGGGCATCATTTCGACCTGGGAAGCGTTGTTGGGTGTGCTGACACCCCTCCATGTGCCCCTGTGTTCTGTGACATGGCGGGGCCGAGCGGCGCCGATTGCCTAGCGTTAGATCCAGGATACATGGGGTGGTGTGGCAGCAACCTCCCCCATCGATTTTCCCACGCGCATCATGGCATGTTGACAGGCTCGGAACCAAGCTCGACAGATCTCCCATTGGGGGTATAACTGTGGGGTGTATCGACTTTGATTGGGCGGTGCCGACTGACTTGCATGACCGTACTGTAGCGAAATCATTAGCCTTCTTTTTGGCTTCTTTCCTCTTACTATGCATTCTTCCTTTTTTTTTTTTTTTTTAT